CTCACACACTCACACTCAATCACACACACACAAACTCACACTCACACTCACACACTCTCTCTCTCACACACACACACACACACACACAATCACACACTCAATCACACTCACACTCTCACACAATCACACTCACACAATCACACTCACACAACAATCACTCTCACACTCTCACACACACTCACTCTCACTCACACTCTCACACACTCACTCACTCACACTCATACACACTCTCACTCACACACACACTCACTCACTCACACTCACTCACACTCGCTGGTGTGAGGCAAACTCACCTCCACCGATAAAACACTGCCCTTCGTCACACTGTCCATCTGAATCAGTGAACTCTCCTCCGGCTGCAGACAACACACACACACACACACAGAGGAGGAGGTACAGTATGATGCATCACATGACTTCAAAAAGCAGCTCTATTCCAAGTAAATTATAACTCAATTTAGATTTATACTTCAGTTTGTAACAACAAAAATCATGTTTACAGTAACACACTTACAGTGAAAACAGAACAGGCAGGTGGACAACATTTACAATAACTATCACACATTTTATAGTTTAAGTTTAATATAACTATAATTTTTATTTTTTAATAGTGCTTTAGTTTAAATATATAACTATAGTTTTTATAGTTTAAGCTTAACTCACATTTTATAATTATAGTTTAAGGAAGAATTCAGAATTTCATGAAAAGAATGAAATTTCACCATGAAAAAAGAAATGTTAATTTTTAGGACAATTTTTTGTATTGTGACATTATTTTCATGACATTTAAGAATATTTTCCCTGCGCAGTCTCATTACGTTTGTATTTTTTAAATAATTCTCATTATTGTATCATTATTAGTTTCTCATCAAAATAGAAATACTGTAATAGAACTAATTAAATTCAGCATAAATAATACAATAAATGAAAACTAATATATAAATACTTTACATTAACAATTATATATAAATAATAATATTACACTAAGAATATTCTTGCATTATGTTTATAAAAATACAAGCAAGTTTTTTACATTATCATGAAAATAATGCCACAATGCAAAAATGCAATATCATTTTTTATTCCTTTCATTTAATTTTGTGGCGAATCACAGGAATTACAGCAGTTATTTGGAAAAAACCCTAAAAACTTTTTACAGAATTCATGCACAATCAAAAATTCCTGATTCTTCACATATATTTGTTGTTGTTTTCACAGACCGACGGTCAAGTCTAAACTCTAGTGTGTGTCACAGATGTTGCTGTACCGCTGTTCTGGGATCAGTGTTGATGGAGTTGAGTCTCCTCATGGAAACCTGCCGCGACAGACTGATCATCTCCTCCCTGAGACACAAACACATTCATGCTGCATTGAGAGAGTTCCTCTGGATGGATTTCTGAGGTCAAAAGTCACAGACTCACGTTCTGACGCTGAGTGCTCGCTTCAGCTTCCTGTTCTTGCGTCTAAGGTGACAGTTGACGAAAACGATGGCGATCACAATAACGATGACCAAAACCCCGGCGACTATGACGATGAGCAGAGTCTCTGACAGGCTTCCCAGAGCGTGTGCAGATTCAGATGCATGTTCTAAAAATAGACAACAAAAACGGCTGCAGACAAAACTTCTCTGTTTTATTCCTCTCTATATTCTGAAGGTTTGTTCGTATTTCATTCACACTGGTTTATACAACATTGTACTCCTAATAAAAGCATGGTGAAAATGTGTTTTCGAGTGATAAAAAGAGAAATCCAGAATCCCCTCTCTGGAAAAACTCTAATATGTCAAAGAAAATCAAACAAGAATTTTGAACCAATGTTCAGTTTTCTGTTCTGGAAATGTATGGAAATGAATGCATAATTAATTAGACGGTGCATCATTTGCATATTCAAACATAACATTTCAGAAAACTTGTAATACAGAATAATTAACTTAATGTACTGTAATAAATCAGCTTGGGATGGTACGGATGATATTAGTTACAATATTTACCCTATTCACCTGTAGTGTCTTCAATTTAATAAAAAAAAAATTGGGTTAAATTATTATTTAAATTTTTTTTTAATTTTAATAAAATTACAAATTAAATTAATTAAGAAAATAAATAAAATTTAAAATAAAATAAAATACAATAAAATAAAAAAAAATAAATAAAAAAACAATTAAAAAAAAATTTAAAAAAATAAAATAAAATAAAATAACCACATGGGGGTTAGGGTTTAATTGAATTGAATTTAATCACCACATGGGGGCAACAGAATCACAAAAGTAGAGAAACGCTGAGTAAATGAATGGAAAGTTTTCTTCATTGAATGGCGGTGGTGTTTCAATTGGTTTCTGAGTCACTGTCGACTACGATCAAGATCTAAATTTACACGATTGTGCAAATCATTATGAGGAAGTCAGAGAAACATGGGCCGTGTGGCAACAACCAACAGAAAAACATCCCGAGAAAATGACGAGACGGGCCACAAACACAAACACAGAAATCTTTCCAGAATCAAACATCATCTTGGTTATTTTAAGCACATTTTCTGCTGCTGCCAACAGAGCTGATGTTGGTACTGCTATTTTTACCTACATTTCCATTCTTCACTTCAAGCTGAAAATATGTGTGTGTACTAAAGAAAAACTAAACCGTAATCAGTGATGCTAATAATAATCTAGATAACTTACCAATATTAAACCGTGGCACAGTTAGCAAAAATTTATATACTGTATACACACTACCGTTCAAAAGTTTGGGATCAGAATGATTTTTAATGTTTTTTACAGAAGTGACCCGAGGCTCAGGCGACCAGCAGAACTTCAAAATGAAGCCTTCACCCCCCCCCAAGTGTGTTTCTTGGAACAGCTTTGGTGTGGGAGGACATTCAAGCCCGTCCTGTGTGACCGTACACATGATGAGGGATTATTATGTGTCTGATGACACACAGGGACTTGATATCTTCTGGATTAAAGGGCTTTTTTAAGTGTAGCGCATCGGGTCATGAGAGAGCCATGGGCTAAAATCAATAACGTCCATTGAGAGGAAAGAAAATTAGTAAAGGAGGAGGAGGAAAAAACCCTCATTCACTCCACAACAATAATATGTGAAACTACAGTACACCATTCCTGTAGAACACTGTAGAATAAATTGAAATTATTGAACAAAAAATAAAAAAATTAAAAATGAGTGATTCTAAATTGGCCAGGTTTTACATTGCACATTAAGTGGTGACTCAACACATCACCAAAATTAAACAAAAATTCCTTAATATCAAACAAATGGACTAATATTACCATGAACTGCACATGAAACTCCTGTTTTACGGCTTCTAAAAAATTAACAGTCTTTGGGGAAGTTCAGAATAGCATATTATCATACTATTTTGCTGTATGTATTATTATGTATATTGTTCTATATATATCTATACATTACTATTCAACAGTTTGGGGTTGATAAGTTTTTTTTTTTTTAATGTTTTTTAAGAAGTGTCTCCTGCTCATCACGGCTGCATTTATTTGATCAAAAATACACGGAAAAACGTAATATTGTGAAATATTTTTATGATGTAAAATAACATTTTTCTATTTTAATATACATTAAACTGTAATTTATTTCTGTGATGCGCAGCTGTATTTTCAGCATCATTACTCCAGTCTTCAGTGTCACGTGATCTTCAGAAATCATTCTAATATACTGATTTATTATCAGTTGTGCTGCTTAATATTGTTTTGGAACCTTTATTTTTTTCAGGATTCTTTGATGAATAAAAAGTTAAAAAGAAGAGCATTTATTTAAAACAAATCTTTTCTA